ACTTCCTGAATCTAAGTCACTGGCATTTTTGGAAGAGCCAAATTTAATCAAGGCGTTTGGGAAGATCGAAACTGAATCAGAAAGACATGAGACCCCACTGGCAGCATGCATCTTGATGACTAGCTAGAGTGGCATTTGCTACGCAGCATAGCTTCCACCGAAAATGCCGGGAAACTCAGTTCTGTAGGAATGGAAGGGGCCTGTTTGAACTCAGGTCCTTAGGACCAAATTGGGAAAGAACACGAGATGCCACGTTTGCCCCAGGACGGAGCTTGGAATGTCTTGAGAATAGAGTGGGGTTTTTAGCTTTGAGGTTTGTGGTTCCAACAAAACCTCGTTTAAAGGCCAGTGTGCAAACACTAGAAGTGAGGAGACCTGGAGGGCCCTCTCTGAGGCCTGCCGTCCATCTGTCTAGAATTTCTCCCCCACTAGAATGTGAATCCACAGAGCAGAAGTTTTTTCTGACTTATTTGTTGCTGTATCCCCTGTGTCTTGAACATTGTCAGATACAGAGCGGCCCTGGGTATGTATTCACTGAATGAGTGAATGAATGAATGAATGAATGAATGAATGAAAGAATGAACAGACCTCTGAGGGCATGCAAGACACATCCTTTATTACTATTATCATCCGTTTATTGAGTGTGCTCTTGCCTGTGTTCTAATACTTATTAAGCAGTTGATATACATGTTCTTATTCAGCCCTCACAATAAGGTTCTATAATAAAATATCCCTATTTTATCCATAAGGAAACGGAAGCTTTAAGAGGATAAGTAACTTACCTTGTTATGTGACCACCACCACAGTTGATTTGAGAACATTTTCTTAATTCTAAAAAAGAAGCCTGTACCCATGAACCTTCTGGATTTCCCTCCAAGTCCCCCCCACCGTCCTAGGCAATTGCTAATCTACTTCCTGTCTCTTTGATTTGCTTACTCTGGGCATTTCATGTGAATAGCATCATGCGATGCAAGGCCATTGCGTGCGGCTCCTTTCGCTTAGCGTGATGTCTTCAAGGTTCTTCCATGGAGTTTTATTGCTGAACAATATTTCATCATATTCTCGCCAACGTGTGTGACTACACCTCGCTTTGTTTATGTGTTCAGCGGGTGATGGACATTTGGGTTGATTCTACTTTTTGGCTGTTATAAACAATGCTGGTATGAACATTCACGCACAAGATTTTGAGCAGACACATATTTTCTTTCTCTTGGGTATATACCTAGACGTGGAATTACTGGGTCGAATGGTAGCTCGATGTTTATTTAGCCTTTTGAGAAACTGTAGAATGGTTTCCAAAGTAGTTGCCCCTCACCCGGTGGCTGTTCACCTGTCAGGGTCTCATTTCTCTGGAACCCTTCTTCACACTCCCAGGGACAACAAACAGCAGGCGCACATTAACGTCGGCTCTCGGATTTCACGGTGTCATTTTTCTCAAAATATTCAGGTTGAACAGGCCTGACCCCCTTCCTCATACCCAACCCTTTTTTCCTTTTTCTACCAGCACGTGACCCTTCAAGGGAGCACAGGGCAGTTACACGTGTGATCGTGGTTTGCAAAGTCCCTTCTCCGAAGCCCCCGGAAGGTTCCAATCTGTAGAACTTTTCTCTTTCCACATCCCACGCTGTGAGTAATAAACTAGGATTGAAGATGCGGTTGAAATTGTTACATTGAATAAGTAACACTCATCATAATCAGAATGCAACTTAACTTTTGCCTCAGAGAGTCCTTTAAAACATCCTCAGACTTTCTCCAGCTTCTGAACAGACATGTGAGCAGCTGGTTCCCTACCCAGACTTTGGTAACAGCCGCTGTCCGGTCACTTCGCGTTAACAGGGAGACTGCGTCCCGCGGTGGCTACTCATCAGAGCCTTGGCCTCCAATGTTTCAAAATGCACGTTTTATTATTATTCGGATGTGGTGAGGCCACAGGTCGAGGCAACTGCCCTGAGAAAGTAGTTTATTTCACTGGTGGATCCCAAGAGAGGGGCCAGGCCACGGCCAGGGACACACGCAGAAGGAAGCGCAGGGAGGCCGAGGGAGTGAGGGGAGGGGCCACTCCCCAGGCTAAGCAGGTCTGGGATTGGCTAATTTGAATAATTTCGTCTGGCTCTGGGGTGCAGGGGCTGGCCCTGGTTGCCTGGAACCTGGCCCTGGGGTGATTAGGGCCTTGGACAGTGATCCAGAGAGTAAGAATAGGATAGAATAGGTGGGTATGGGCTCTGCCTTTGTTGTTTTGCACATGAAAGGTGCACGCTCATTCAGTTCTAAGAAGTGACTAACCCTGGGAGGGACGATCCCTCCAAGCCCCAAGCTGTTAAGTCACCAAACAGACAGAATAAAAAGACAGAATACATTGCTGGAAGGTAGGACTTCTCTCCAAGCTGAGGCTTGTGGTTGGCAGCTGTCTCACTCAGGGACGGAGGAGTGACTTCTGCTTTCCCCGCCCCTCACCCCCACCCCCGAGCTGCTGTTTGAGACCCCACCAAGATTAGGCGGATGGAGGTAGGACAGTAGGGTTGACTTGGAGTGCCCACTGTCACAGCTCCCTCCCTGGGAGGCCCTTGCCCTCCCAACTGTCCCCGTGAGCAGGACTTAACATGACCCACATAAGGTCCACAGAAGACACAACACACCCTTGATGTTCTGGGCAGGAGTACGACTCTAGGTCATGGTGCCCTCAACCGCAGAGAAGCCTTCTGGGTGTTCCCACCGAAGCCCACCTCGCCGGCAGTCCTCCACCCACCCGCCGAGGCCCCCAGGTATTCTCCAAGATTTTCTCCTCAAAGCCTAGCTCGGCCTCACTCCGATCTTGCTCCCCATCACTGGTCAGGCCGAGGGTTCCCACTTCTTGGTAGGTCTGCGGCTGAGGCGGCTGTGTCTCAGATCGACTCGGCTGTCCTGTGGTCCACGTGGAGAAGCACCCTCTGCGCCCGGGGCCAGGAGTGGGGACTTCGCATCCTGCCAGACGGCATCGGGGTCATGCAGTTGCTCAGGGTCTCCCTCCCCAGTACTGCCTGGACCCTGGCAGCTTCGTGACTCAGGAGCAAGATGTGACTTGTCATGAGTTTACGGAGACATTTCTTCCAGGGCCTGTGAACACTGCCCAGGGCGACCTGGAGAGGGCCCAGAGCGCTCAGGTGATGACTCCTCCCCCTGACTTCTCCCTCTTCCCTCAAGTTATTTACTAAAAACACTTCATATGTGTAATGAAAGCTCCAGCCGGCTGGACGCAGGTGGTGGCCAGGTTGAGGGCAGATGGTTGCAGAGATCACTGGGGCCATGAGTCCTGGTGGGACTGAGGTTTTTCTCTAAGGTTTTATCTATTTATCCCCAAGAATCACTGATGTCCATTTGGTTTCTAGGTCGGAAGCTTATACTGACCTCCAGAAAGGTAGATCTTCCTGTGTCTTTTTAGTCAAGGGTGGCAGGGAGGAAAATGAGTGGGGACTTGGAATATATGTTTCAACGACTTGCAGACCCTGGTGAGATGTGTTTTCAAACAGTCCGTTCTCTGCATTTCCAAAGCCTTTACGGTCTCTCTCTCTCTCTCTCTCTCTCTCTCTCTCTCTCAGACACACACACACACCAGGCATTTGATTTTTGAAACCCAGCCCAGGGCAGCCTCTTAAACCCATCTCGAGTTGTGATCACAGTGACAAGGGGCTCCCACTGGGGTTGAGGTTCTGTAGGACATTTCATGATAAATGTATCAAAGCCACAGGAGCCAGATCTTTATAAATAATCCTGGCTCCCTTCACTGCTCATTATTCGCCGCCAGCCCTCCGGGAGCAATTAGTTTCCAGAGAAGAGTGAGGTTTTCCATCCACGCAGTTGCAGTCACAGCACTTTTATTTTTATGAGCCCTCCATTTGATCAGTCACTAGATTAATTTTTGCAACGCCGGAGATACTTTGTTTATGAAAACCCTGTAAAACAGCTGTGCTGCCACGGGACCCGAGGCCAGACCCGTCCATGTTGGGGTCGTTTTGCTGAGAGGCTGCGCCCCGCTGTGCAGAGAGGAGAACGGGAAAGATGCTGGCACGGGTGCCAGGAAGAGCAGACCGGGGTGTGGGGGTGCCCAGCAGGGCCTTCAGAAGGGGTATTTCAAGAGGCAGGAACCTGGGCCTTGGGCCATCGTGAGAGAAGCCCATGCCCCCTGAGCCCCCTGTTCAAATAAAAAGCAAATGGAGACCAGCCTTTAAAATTTCCTGGGCAGACAAAACAGTGTAGCCACACAGACAACATTTAGTCTGGGCCTGGGCCCAGCGACAGGTAGAAAGTCACAAGGTTACTCCTGCCGGGACAGTGTTGAAAGCAGTCGCAAAGCTCATTCAAGAGCAGACCTTGAATCTGACCTTTTTTTGTTTTTCCTCACCCGAGGACATTTTCCCATTTTTTTGTTCAGGTAGAGTGGGAGGGAGAGAGAGGAACAGAGAGAGAGAGAGAAACATCGATGCGAAAGGAACACATCGAGTGGCTGCCACCCGCACAACCAACCAGGGCCGGGGACAAACTGCAACCGAGGTACACGCCCTTAGCGGGAACCGAACCCAGGTCTCTCAGGACCGCAGGTCGACGCTCTAACCGCTGAGCCAAACCGGCCAGGGCCCTTTTTTTGTTTTGTTACTCCTCACCGGAGGATATTTTCCCATTGACTTTTAGATAGAGTGGAAGGGAGGGAGGGAGGGAGGGAGGGAGGGAGGGAGAGGGGAGAGCAACATCAATGTGAGAGAGAAACCTCAATCGACTGCCTCCCGCACAACCCCAACCAGGATGGGATCAAACCTTCAACGCTTTGGTCCCCTGGCCGATGCTCGAACTGCTGAGCCAAACCAGCCAGGGCCGAGTCTTATCTTATCTTTTAAGGGAGCAATGCCACAGAATTTTTAGCCATCTGTAACCTGCCACAGAGGGGCCCTGGGCCTTGCTCCCTTCCCCAGGCCAAGCCCCAGTGAGGACACAGGAATCCCGGAAGAGTTTTGTGAGATCTGGGAGCAGATTGGTACCGCTTCTGGGGGTGAGCTTGGGAAATATCAGGACTCTGAAGAGATGGCTGTGTGGTGGGCACATAAATATGGAGCTTTAGACAGAGACCCCGAGTCCCAGCGTGGTGTGGGAGCTGAGGAATGGTTCCCATGTGTCCAGGAGACTGGAAGACACACTGAAAAAGAGTTGTCCCCCAAAGGCAGTGACCAGGGTAAAGGAGCCTCTGAGGACCATGTGGGATGTTGGGTGTCTCGAGAATGAAGTGTGGAGAGATGAAAAAGACTGCATCATCTCTTCCCCTTCTCTCACCTTGTTGCCTTGGGTTCACAAACACCCCTGAAAATTAGGCATAGCCCAAAGATAGCCAAAGGGGGGCTCTCACAGTTTGGGTTCCCCAGGAAGAAGGTTCTGTGTGGAGATTAGCCTGCGGGGTGTTTGTTAAGGTGTGTCCCGTGGAGGGGAGGGGATGGAAACAGGGCTGGGCAGAGGCAGAAGCTGGGTTGCCATGTGGTCTCACCGGAGACTCAGCCAACTCTGGGAGCTGCTCTGGAGCTGGGAGGGACCTTCAGAGTTACTCTGAGTTGGGGCCCGGGGGCCTCCCTTGTATATCCCTGCATTGATCAGGCACTGGATTCAGCCACAGGGAAGGGGACATGACCTTGGGTGAGGTGGCTCCCTGATGAGACAGAGGGTCTCCATGTGCCTTTTACAAAGAGGGAAGAACCTTCATCTTCCTTCCCTACAGATAAGAATGTAAAACCAGGACCACAGAGCTGTTGGCCTGTGCGCTGCCAAGTGTCCTTGCGAGCCAGGGCTGGTCCTCACTTTACCTTCCCCTCTGAAAGGCTGGAGAAGCTCTTAAGTCAAAGGCTCATATCTTGGTTTTCCAAGAACCATGACTCAAACGCGGTTGACAACTGCCCTGGCAGTCCATGAGCCCGTGGCCCTGCGAGATGGTTACCTTGTGCTAGTGGCTGGAATTAAATAGCATGTTGCATCTTGGACCCCTTTATATTTTCAAAGTGGGGGACACTCTTTGTGGGCAGCCAAGACCAAAGATGAACTGGGTGTGGAGGCTGGGCTGGCCGAAATCAGCCAGCAACATGTTGTGGAAATGAAACTCCGATCCCACAGACAGGAACTCGGGATGTCTGGCCAGCAAGGAAGAGGGGGGCTTTCTCCCGGGAAGCCATTGGCCGGGGAGTTTTCCGTGATGATGAGAAGGTTCCGTTCTGCTCTGTGTGAGAGGCTGGCTATCGGGCACCTGACATGGGGGTAGTGTGCTGGGTTGAATTGTACTGGGTTTGGCTAGTGGCTGCGGGACTGGACAGTCCGGTCTGAAGTCCTGCCCTGGACGCGTGGTCTGGGGGACAGCACCGGCATCTCCTGGGAGCTTGGGAAAGAACGCTGGTTTCGGGTCCTCCAGACCTGCCACCCAGAAGCTGCATTTGGCAAGCTTCCCGGGGCGCTTGTGTGTCCAATGGAGATGCTTTTTAAAGGACCCCAAAGCCTCGCATGCATCATCCCGTGGTTCAGTATGGAGGAGAGTGACCCGAGGATTGGAAAAGAACAGCGAGGTCCTGGGCCTCGGCTTGAAGGGTCTGGTTTAGACCTTGCCCAGCAGGGGGGTGTGAGGGCGCAGCGCTGTGAGGAGGAGGTCAGCCCCGGGGAGGTTTGGCTTCCAGGGCGGCGGAGAATCTATCAGAAGCCTGTCTTGCTTATTCTACAGGCCAGCGGGCGCTGTCCCGAGTCCTGAGCGACCCCCACCGCCCCCGTTTTACATAGCGGGGGGCAGCCTGAGAATCCTCCCATTTTGCCAAACTCAGCATCCTCCCCACTGATTGGAAAATACTTTTTGTGCTCTTCTTGTGGATCAAATGCATTTTATTTTATCTTTTTCTTTTTTTCCCACTCCCTCTTATTTCTATTCAGTTCTAGCTGTCAAGGCTGCTGTTTCAACCCATTCCTACTCGTTTTCATGGTCACATCCTTTTTTTTTTTTTTTTTTTTTTGAGGAAACAAAGTTACTGTGATTTCTGTCCTTCCTCCCCCACCTCCCAACTAGGTTTGAAATCTGTCTTTTTCAACAAGCATTTTTGCTTTGTTTTTTCCCTTGGAGCTTCACGGCTGTTTCTCTCCTTTTTATTTTCCAATCACCCTCTCTGATTTCTTGCAATGTATGTATTGAAGAAACTAGGTTATTCACCTGTAGAATCTCTTACAGTCTGGATTGCGTTGACTGTATTTCCATGGTGACATATAACCAGTTCTTCTGTCCCCTATATTTCTTGGAAATTGGTGGTTTGATAGAGGCTTGACCAGAGGCTTGGTCAATGTTTCTGGAAAGACCACTTCCCATGATACTGTTTTGTTTTTTTCTGGAGACAGACATGGTATGGTGTTTCTGTTTTTGAAATGTGGGCAGCCATCGATGGCCAGTGCCCAGGCCCATTCGTTCATTCGGGCTCGCAAATGGTGAGGTTCTAATTCCATATCCCTTCTTCGCTTATTGGCTCACATCCATCCAGAGTTCTTCCTCTCGACGTTCTGTTCCCTCGAGTTACAGTGTGAACAGGAGAAGCATGATGCATGCTTGCTTCTTTCCTTTTGCTAATTTTCAAAACAATGAGTAGATGCCCCGGTACTCTGACAGTGATTTTTGTGGATGGTGAAGAGTTGAACCTGACTTCTTCAGGGGGAAGATAGAACCCTCAAATTCTCTCAGCAGCTTTGCAGGAGAGGTGTTAATACGCCCATTTTTATAGATGGGGAACGGAGACTCAGAGGTGGCATGAAATCGTGGGTGGAAGGGCCAGGATTCTCTCTCAGGTCTGCCTGGCTGCAGAGACCAAACTCAGTTGCGTGGCCCACCCCTGCATGGGTCCATGCGCCTGCCCGTGAACCAATCTCTCTAGCCAAGGGAATCGGATGCACTTCGTGGCTCAGTCCCAGGTCCCAGGCTCCAACCGAGACTTCGTATCTGTGCCGTCTACCTCAATACTTTCAACGCAGATGCAGAATCTACCTTTTATGGGTGAACCCATTTGGATTACTAGAGATAGTAAATACTGATTAGAATGTAGCATAGAGCATTTCTTCAAGTTCTAGAAGCCATCGACCCCCTTTTTTCTCTTAAGAAAGCCCCCTGCCTGGGCCACAGCAGAGGCCGCCCCAAGCTGTCACAGAGGGCAAGCTCATGCTGCGCCCGGGGACCCGGCCCCCACCTGCTCTCTGCAGCCCACCTGCCCAGGGACGGAGAGCTGCTTGTCCTGGCTAAGGAGAGGCCCCCTGGGAATTATTTCTCTGGACCGGTTCCACGGCCTCACACGGCTGATATCTGCTCATTCCAGGCCAGGGCCCAGCCCGTGCGCTGTCGACACCAGATAATGTCAGCCCCCTGGCTGATATAGTGGCGGATGAGCAAACATTGGGCTGCTGGCGGAGTCCGCGACTTCCTGAGTGGCCACAATAGCAGATCCATTGAAGTTTAAACACACACAGCCTCACCACCCGTGCCCTTTGCGTTTGCCGGGAGATGAGTTTATTGGTGTAAATAGCCGGCCCTCATTTCCCCTCCAACTCGCACTTTGGATTTTAATCAGGGTCAACCCTGTCTGGCCTGCTGCTTCCTTTCCCGTCTGTAGGACCCACAGGCCAGCCCAGGGCTGCCCTCGGTCACACGGCTGGAAGCCACAGCGTCAGGACTCACCCAGCCTCTGGAACAAAACAACAGCAGAGCCTGGGCTAAGAGGGTGGCCTCCAGAGCCTGACAAGCGTGGGACCCACCACTTCCTTGGCTGGTCGCCTAGATTCTGTAAGCATTAGGTGCCCCCTCTGTGAGATGGGGTGATACGCGCACCCACCTCTCAGGGCTATCAGGAGCATACAGATGACCCGTCTGAGCCATGCCCCAGCGCCTGCGCCACAGGCAAGGTCAGCACCACCTCAATGCTGCTTGCAGGGGCCCCTCTTCTTTGGCGCTGGGCACGGGCTTCTAGATTGTAGTTCATCCTTTCTGTGCTCACGCGCTTCCGGTGGGAAGCAACTTGCATCAAGGCAGAAAGGTACAAGTGTGGCATGTGTGTGAATGTGATTTTTAAACTTTCTGGCCTCATGTGGGTTTCCTTTGCCCTGTGGGGCCCAGCAGGGGAAGGTAGTAGACTCACCAGGGTTTGTCAGTTGATGGCATTTATATGTTAGTCAATGGAAAATAGTTGTGTCAAAACAGAATTGTCATATAAGTAGTACTTTGTTGGAGTCATCCACCCATCCATCCATCCACCCATCCATCCATCCACTCATCCATCCAGCCATCCATCCATCCATCCATCCATCCACCCATCCATGTACCTATCCATCCATCCATCCATCCATCCATCCATCCATCCATCCACCCACCCACCCATCCACCCACCCATCCATTTATCCACCTACCCATTCATCCATCCATCCATCCATCCATCCATCCATCCATCCACCCATCCATGTACCTATCCATCCATCCATCCATCCATCCATCCATCCATCCATCCATCCACCCACCCACCCATCCACCCACCCATCCACCCACCCATCCATTTATCCACCTACCCATTCATCCATTCATTCATCCATCCATCCATCCATCCATCCATCCATCCATCCATCCACCCATCCATCTACCTATCCATCCATCCACCCACCCATTCATCCATCCATCCATCCATCCATCCATCCATCCATCCATCCACCCACCCACCCACCCATCCATCTACCTATCCATCCATCCATCCATCCATCCATCCATCCATCCACCCACCCACCCATCCATCTATCCATCCATCCATCCATCCATCCATCCATCCATCCATCCATCCCTCCCTTCATTGCCTTCTGTGCTTGCAGACCTCACAGAGCCACTGAAGATAATTTGTCCTGAATCCGCCAGACCCCAGGCCAGATTGGCTCTGCTGCTCCAGCCCCTCGTGGCAGGGGTGAGAGGGTTGAGCAGGTGTGGCTCCATCTCCTGTGTAACTCAGGTGTTCAAGTAACTACTTTAGAGACTCCACAACCCGAACTCCCCCAATTTTAACACTGAAAGTCCTGTATCTCTTAACATGCCTCAGTCCCAGACAAATGGGGAGAGTTGGTCACCCCACCTCATCCCCTTTGTGGTTTGGGCTCCCAAGCCCCCCTACACACACACGGGGACGATGTTGTTCCTCCCACCCTGCCTGAACTTCGGGTCGTGATGGGTCCCCTGCCTGCTCCCTGCTCAGCATTTCTCTTGGCACAGCCGGACGTCTTTCTCCTCCCACCTCGGTGCCCTGTAGGCAGCCGAGAGTCTTTGTCTGACACAGGGAACAAGGGGAGTGTTCATGAAAGAACACGGCTGCGTCCCTCCTGCCGCAAGGCTGTGAGCACACTCTGCCTCCGACGAGCTCCCTGTGACTACACAAAAACGGGGCTCTTTTCTTCCTGATGCCATTTCAGGTGAAGCCAAATATTTTTAAACTAGACCAACCACAGCTAAAGTGCTTGGACGTGGAGGTGAACGTCTGGCAGGTTCACACAAGTCCCTCGGATCAGTGGGAGGTGCTTTCAGCAGCAAGGACAATGCGTCACTGGGGGTCCCGCGATGGGCTCGGCGCTCCCTGCACAGCCTGGAGGTGGGCAGCTGCTGATACTGATCGAGGGACCAGTGGTGGTGGCGGGCTCAGAGTTGACGTCAGTGCCCTTCTCTAGGTCCCCTCGTGTCATAAAGTGGCAGCAGCAACTCCAAACATCACATCTTGTGCAGCTGAGCTCCAAGGAGAAGCAGGTGGCCTAGAACAGGGCCTCTCCTTTGCCTCCGACCCAGGGGAACGTCATCCCCAGAAGTCCCCTCTCCCCAGTGCACCTTCCCTTACACCTTATTGGCCACAACTGGGTCACACACCCACCCATAGGCCACGGGCAAGTCCCACCTTCTTTACAATCCAGGGGTCTCTGCCCAAAGTACTATCAGAGTTCCTCTGAGGGGCGGCTTTGGCTGGACCATCAGAAATGTGTTCTCAACGCTCTTCTGTGGGTGTCAGAAGCCTTGAGTTCTAATCCTGGTCCTGGCCCTGTTTCCGTCTTGCTCAGGTGTGAATAACACGATGAACCGGATGCATCATCCTCCAGTCCCGATGTGGCCCCTGTGGACCGCTCGGACAGGAAGTGAGGACAGTGAGCCCGTGCGGGCCTCTGTGTGCGGCTGCTTCTCATCAGGGGCTCCACAGACAGAAACGATTTTGAATGCGGGTAAACTTGATCCTTTCAAAGGGAACTTCTATCTTGGATGCTTCTGAGTGTCTGCAGGATTGGCTGGCCAGCATCTTGTCTTGTCTCCAGGGACTTTTTTTTTTTGCAGACACTGTACAGATATAGATATAGATACAGATATTGACACAGATACACATGTAATTATAGAGTGTGTTATCTGGTCATGTCGGCAGAGCAGATGGAGATCCATCTGTTGGGGAACGTTCCAGAGAAATCCAGCTAGGGCTGGGGCGGGAAGGGGGGGTGCGAACTGAGGGACAACTGAGGGCAAATGAGACTCAGGGGCTCAGGGCTGGCCCCCTATGTCTGCATTATAAGTGGCTGAGATAGGCCCCAGTTTGGTGCTCCTGGCTCCTCCAAGGGACTTGGGACTCGGACCAGCCAAATCTATCTTGCTGTTGGGTGACGGTGGACGAGTGATCCTGTGAAAAACCGAAGCTGTGCTGGCCCAGCTGGCAGGGCCCCTTGTGCACACGTCTGTACGTTGGAGGTGAGGGCGGCCGTCGTGTACGTTCAGCTGTTCTCCACCTGGAAGGAGAGACCCCGGCAGCTTTGCTGGAAGACTCGGGCCAGGGAGGTGAATGACTGGTGTGTGCCCAAGCAGCCAGTGGTTCGGAGGCTGACGCTAGTCTGCGATTTCCCAGCAACGCTCGGGGTTGGGAGGCCAGTGTGGTGGTAGTCAGCAGCTTTGGTTTATGGCTTTTTAAAAATGCTTTGCCTTTAAAATTCAGGATATTGCCCTGGCCAGTTTGGCTCAGCGGTTAGAGCGTCGGCCTGCGGTCCGGAGAGACCCGGGTTCGGTTCCCGCTAAGGGCGCGTACCTCGGTTGCAGTTTGTCCCCGGCCCTGGTTGGTCGTGCGGGTGGCAGCCACTCGATGTGTCCCTTCACGTCGATGTTTCTCTCTCTCTCTCCCTTCCTCTCTCTCCCTCTCACTCTATCTGTACAAAAAATGGAAAAAACATCCTCGGGTGAGGATAAAAAAAAAAAAAATTAAAATTCAGGATATTAGTCAATTCACCCTGAGAGCTTTGAGACAAAACCTTTCCCCAAATCTAGATCGTCCTGCCCTCTCACAAGCTCTCAAAGGTGGGAGAGGAGGCAGAAGGAGAGTCAGGGAGATACAACAGCAGAAGGAGCAGGAGAGTGTGAGAGGATTCTGACCATTCTTGCTGGCCTTGAAGCTCGAGGAAGGGTGGGGTGGTATGGCCAAGAACTGTGGGTGGCCCTCAGCTGCCAGCCAGCAAGGAAATGGGATCACAGTCCTACAGCTACAAGGAACTTTGTTCTGCCAAAAGCTGGAATGACCAAGGAAACAGACCCTCCTCAAGAGTCCCCAGGAAGGAGCATGACCCTGCTGACACCTTGATGTTAGCCCGTGAAACTCAGGTCTGACTTCGGATCTATAGAACTTTAAGACAATACATTTGTGTTGTTTAAGCTGCTAAGTTTGAGGTCGCTTATTACAGCAGCAATAGAAAACAAATACAAATGTTTGATCGCCCGGCCAGTGTGGTTCATTGGTTGAGGTCGCTGGTTTGATTCCCAGTCAGGGCACATGCCCAGATTGTGGGCCTGATCCCCAGTGGGGGGCATGCAGGAGGCAGCCAATTGATGTTCTCTCTCATCGATTTTTCTATCTCTCTCTCCTTCTCTCTTCCTCTCTCTCTAAAAATCAATAAAGAAAAAATATTTAAATAAATAATAAATAAATGTTATGGTGTCAGGCCTCTCCCTGCTTCAGAATATTCTGTTGCATAATAACTGATGTCATAGAAAAGATTCTAGAAGACCAGGCCATGGAGAAGGACTTAGGGCTCAGAAGCTCTTGGGTGAAGGCAAAGGGGTTATGAAAAAGTGGCATCTGAAAAACCCAGGGAACTGAGTGGAGGGAGAGCAATTTTCCCATAACAAAGACTAAAGCTGCCACAGCTGTTCCTTCCCTCCCCCGAGAAGGCACCAAGACCTGCAGAAGGACCGGTGGACTGGTAAGCAGGTACATGGTGGACAGGAACCGGGACAGGTGTGACAATACCCAAATGTAGGTGACACTCACCAGCAAATACACTTACTACTCATCCAATGACAGTTTAGTTGGGAAGAGTAGGTTTTTGTTCGTTCAGTCATTCCAGAGAGATTTGCTGAGCACATACTGTGCACCAGGCTCAGTCCTAAGTTCTGGGGATACAGTGGAGAACAAAACAGACCAGGTTCCTGCGTCTCCGGTGCTTACACTCTAGTAATGGGAGGTAGACAAGTGAACAAATAAACAAGGTAATTTCAGAAATTGACTTCTAGTACGAAGAAAATAAGAACCATTGTCTGTGATGGGCAGTGGTCGAGGAATTCTACTTGAGGCGGTGAGTTCACTGGAGCAGAGACCATGACCAGAAAGAGCAAGCTATGTGGTGGTTGGGGGGGATCATGTTTCAGAAAGGAGAAACAGCATGTTCAAAGGACCTGTGGTAGGAATGAGATTGGGATGTTCAAGAAAAGCATGCAAGGTGAACATCGTGGTGTGAGGGTGAGGGGAGAGGTGTGAAGTCAGGCTGGAGAGGTTCCCAGGGACTAGATCAGGAAGTCTTGTTGGCCAAGTTGAGGAGTTAGGATCTTATTTAAAGTACAGGGAGGGGGGAATGAAGGTACAGGGGAGTTCACTGGAGTTGGGTGATATGACGGGATACGTATTTTTAAGAAGGTCTTTCCATGCTGTGTGGAGAACGGGGAGAGGGAGCCAGGGAGGAGCGTGGAGTGAAGGAGAACAGTCAGGAAACCTCCACAGACGTCAGAGATGGTGATGACCTGGACGAGGGTAGTGTGCAGATGGCGAGAGGTGGAGAGGCTTTGGAAGAACAGGGCACAGGGCTCTCGATAAATTGTCCGCTGGGGAAGAGGGAGGGAGAGAGGACTTAGTGTGCCTTTCATGAGCCAAGATGGAGCCTGCCCTCTGAGAGACAGACACTGCCCGAAAACATTGTTTGCTTTGCTGGGAAATGTAAACATAAACTTCTCTGTTTGGGATACAGTTAGTGAGCTAAGGGCATGGAGTGCACCAGGTCTCAGAAAAAACGAGTGTCCATGGGAGATGGAGCGCTCTGCAGAGTCAACTCATTTACTCTCTAAATCAAGGCAATGAGGTGAGTGTTACTTTCACCTCTATTGCAGGTGAGGGAACAGGCACAGAGAGACTGAGTAACTGTCTTAGTTCACTCCTGGGATCACTCAGGTTCCAGCCACTGAGGGGGTAAAGCTGGGGTTTGGACACAGGCAACCTGACTCCAACTCTGAGCACTGAGATGCTAGGCCTCCTCAGCGGTGTGCTTGGTGTGCTTGTCATGTCTGTAATTAATCACGTGGCTTGAAAGTGTGGTTCTTCTTTGCCTAGCCGATGTGGCTCAGTGGTTGAGCATCGACCCAGGCACCAAGAGGTCACTGGTTCGATTCCCTGGTCAGGGCACATGCCCAGGCTGTGGGCCCAATCCCCAGTGGGGGGCATGCAGGAGTCAGCCAATCGATGTTCTCTCATCGATGTTTCTATTTCTCTCTCTCTCTCTAAAAATCAATAAAGAAAAAAAAATTTAAAAAAAAAAGAAAGTGTGGTTCTTCTAATCCATGAATATACTCATTTATTTCCAACATTGGCCCAAGTTAGACATTTAAGTCATTGGTTCTCAACAGGGGACAGTTTTGTCCCCCCAGGAGACATTAGGCAATGCTGACACATCCGTGGTAGTCACACCCGAAGGGGTGGAGTTACTGGCTCCTAAGCAACCTCAGTGCGCAGGAAGCCCCAGGACAGAGTGTCCAGCCCAGTGTCCGGTCGGGAAGCCCTGGCGAAGGTGAACAGGCTGGAGGACAGCACACATCCCCGTGAAGGGTGCTGAGCAGGGCCCAGCGACGGCCCAGCTGAGACATGCTCGGAAGGAGCCGCGTTCTCATTCCCAATTGCACGTTGTAGTCTGAGGGATGGGACGTAGCACAGACAGGACAGTCACCGCCTAGGTGTTAAGGAAGTGATTCCCAGGGCAATAAGGGCTCAGAGAGGGTATGTTCTCAAAGGAGTGCATCAGGCTTCAAGGAGGCGGCACCTGGGTGGAGGCCTCAACATGGAGCAAGGTTTAGGTGGGGCAGCAGTGTGGCAGTGAAGCCAGTGGGGCTCCCGTTTTTCTGAACATGCGGGAGGGGGCACCCCACTCCCACAGCGCTCTCTTTTCCTTCAGCGGAAGCCGCGTCCCTGGGACCCTGCTAGAAATTGTCGGAGACTCTGCCGGCTCCACTGGCGCTCTTGCCCCGAGCTGCGCTGTGGGACCCTGGAGACATGCAGGCATCTGTGGTTCTCTCCCTCCTCGGCTGTCTGGTGGTGCCAAGCGGCGCGGCGGTCCTGGGACGCTGCACGGTGGCTAAGAGGCTCCAAGAAGGAGGCCTGCGTGATTATGAGGGCTACAGCCTAGAAAACTGTGAGTGGGCCCCCTCAGACCTTCCCCCTCACCCTCTCCCTCTGCCCCCTGCCCAGGCTCCCCCGCTCCAGCCCTCCTCCGAACCACACACGCCTCCTGTTCCATCGTAGGGGTGTGTCTGGCTTATTTTGAGAGCAAGTTCAACCCTATGGCTGTCTACGAGAACACGCGTGATTCCTACACGGGCTTCGGCCTCTTTCAGATTCGCAACCCTGACTGGTGCGACAAGGGGAAGAACCGCTGCCACGTGTCCTGCTCCGGTAGGTCCCCTCCTCCGGTCCACCCCGGGCACCGGGGCCACAGCGTGGACCTCAGAGGTCTGCCTTCCTACTGGCCCCGCTTTACAAGTTTGGAGCAGGGAAGCCGGGGGCTTGGGGGGCAGTGCAGCATTGCCGGGGTACCCGGGCAGGAAGGACGGCTGTGAGCAGGCACAGCAGATGGCCTGGGACGGAGCAGTGGACACCCACACCCAGATGGGCGGAGGTATCACCATACTGAGAGGAGCCAGGAAGGAAGCTACAGGCCTTCGAGTCCACTGACCCTAAAGGGTGAGCGGAGAGGACTCCGGCTGGGCCTGACGTTACCCACGCTTGGCACCACACTCTCGCTCAAGGGAACAGAAGCTGCCCCTCTGACAGGCAAAAGTGGTCCCCGAGAGGGAACAGGAGTGGGCCAATCCACGGGGAGCTTGGCCCGAGTAGGAGGGTCCACGGACCTGTGGTCAAGAGGAGGTGGTTCCCCAAGACTGACTCATCCTGTGAGCATTTACCGAGCACCCACTAAGTGCCAGAGGAATGCATCACATCGCCAAGCTGTGGGAATCGGGCGGAGCACCCGCCGCCAGGGAGGGCACTGTCTTTGTCTCCTGCCCCTTGCCACGTCCCGAATGGTGGGGTCGTGGAGGACAGCAATGAAAGTGGAGAAGCGGAGCGGCACGTGGGCAAACTGAGGCTAAGCAAGGATTTGGAGTTTTGTTTACAAGCCTCCAGGGAGCACTGAAGTAAAGTTTTAAAGAAACGCGGTCAGACTAGACAGGGAAGGGGAGGCTTACTGAACGCAAGGAAGGCGGTATTGCTGTGGTCCCAGGTGGGAGGTCTCGGTTTCTACGTCCCAAGGAGGGGGTGACAGAAGGAATGCGTAGCCATGTTGGTTCCTCAGGGGCCCTCTCAGATGCTGTTCCTTCTGCCGGAACAATTTTCCTTCTGGGATTCCCTCAACCCTCTTTCTTTACCTACTCTTAGATGTCACTTGGCCCAATTACCCTTCTCCCTGGTCCTTCAAGTCTAATTTAGATGCTTCCACTCCACGTCCCACCATTCCAGATATTCTTTGTATTATAATTGACCATAATCTTTACCCGCTTCTAGACGGCAGTTTCTGAAGGCAGGGATTTATCGTATCGGTCATTCTATCCCCTCTACTTCTTATGATGCCTAGCAAAGGATGTTCACCATACACATGTATTTTTAATAAAAAATTATAAAGATTACAAGAAAAAGTCAATAGATTTAGTAAGAGATGGCCACATTCTGCCCCCTCCCAGTGTTATCTGAGAAAAATCTAGGGATAGATTTATTCGTGGAATTTCGCAGAAGCCTTCCTAATGTGAGCACCTCGTCCCTTCCCTGACATGCTCCGATTTAGTGGCCAAGTGGTGGATTGCTATCATTCCATTTTATTTTTTCCACAGCTTTACTGAATTCAAATTTAAATAAGACAATTGAATGCGCAAAGAAAATTGTAAAAGGAAAAAGAGGAATGGGAGCATGGTAAGTGGTACACCTTTAAATATTCTGTATTAATGACTTTTGCCCTTTTAATCTTAATCTTGGTCTGATTTTGGCTGCTTATCTGAAGTCCCAAACTCCTGGATCCTACTCACCAAGTTAAGCAGAACAATACCATTGAGTTCTACAACTCCAAGGCCACAGAAGGAAGGAAATAGTTATCAGTCAAATTGCCATAAGTTGAACAAAACCCCCCCCCCCCCCCCCACACACACACACACAAATCTTGTATAGGGTTATACAGGATGCTAGGATGAACATCCATGAAATACATTTCTGTGTATCTCTCTATTTCTTTCATATATATTCCCACAGAGTTTTTGAATACTTTAAAAGATCCTTGATACATGTTGTAAAATGACTCTTCAGCAAGCTTATACCAAATTTGCACTAATATTAATAGTTTAGTAGAATGCCTATTTACCACTACACTCTCACCAATTCAAAACCTTTGTCATTTGAAAGGTGAGTAAGAATTTTGTCATATCTTCTTTTGCATTTTATGATATCTCATTAGGGTGTTTTCTATTGTGTTATCTTTTTCTTATTAATTTGTTAGAATTATTGATATATTCTGGATAAAAGTTTTTTGTTGGATACATGTATTGCAAATATCTTCTTTTATCCCCTGGGCTGGTTATCTTTTCATTTTCTTCATGGAGTCTTGATAAACAGAGGTTCTTAGTCATAATCCAATGTAGTTTAATTGATCATTGCTTTTCCTTTATGGTTATTTTTGTATATTTTAAAATAATCTTTCCTATTCCTAGGTCATGAGGATATTCTTCTTAATTTTTTTCTAACAGCTTTATTGTTTTATCTTTCACATTTGGCTCTATAATACTTTTCTTTCTTTTTCTTGCCTTGTTGCATTGGCTAAGATCTCTAGTAAATGTTGAACGAAGATAGTAATGGCATTCTTATCTCATTCTCAGTCTCATAGTTAAGAAGTTCAATATTTTATCATTGAGTGAGGTATTTTCTTTAAATTTTCTGAAATACTTTTGATCAGATTATGAGTGTTCTTTTCCATTTTCAGATTGTTAAAAGATTTTTAAAAATCATGAGTAAGTGTTGAATTTTAGTTATTGAACTTTTAGTTTCTCTGCAATTCTGTGTTAGCCTAACTATTTTCCTTTTAAAATTCAAGTTGTTGTCTTTTTTCTTTATTGATCTTTATAGAGAGAGGAAGAGAGAGGCAGAGAGAGATAGAAACATCAATGAGAGAAAACATAAATAGGCTGCACTGGGAATTTGGCCCACAACCTGGGCATGTGCCCTGACTGGGAATCGAACTGGTGACCTGGTGGTACGTGGGTTGATGTTCAACCACTGAGCCACACCAGCTGGGCACTGTTGTCTTTTTTTATCTCTTTTCCTCCCATGGCTTTTCCCAAAGGTCATGTCTGGTTATCTTATTAAGGACATCAGTTTTAACAAATTTACTTCTAGATCTGCAGTATGCTGTCTTCAAAAGAATGTTTCTCTGAATTTCATGATAATGCCCGCCCCTTTCTACTTATAATATTTCCTCATAGGTCTCATGTTATTTTTCTCCTTTCTTGAATAAAGACAGATTTACCCATACTCAGTGTTTGCCAAATAGATAGGTGGTGTGACTTTTTCTTGTCTTTGCTTACTGCTACTTGGGTGATGGTCAGGCCCTCTTCTCAGATATCCATCTCAGCATCGATTGGTGCGGACATCTCTTAGCCCAATTTCCCATTTGGAGACTTTGCTGATGTACATGTCTGGTTCTTTCTCATAGGCTGAACCAGTGGAGCACATAAAAACTCTCCATTCTTAGGATGCACTGCTGTCACCTCCATGGCGGGTCTACGTTACCCAGTAGACACTGTGTCACCAATTCCCACCTTCCCCTGCCTTTGCTGCCTTCCCCTGCAGGCCACATCTCACAATAGACTGGCTGGTTGATTCTGGGCATTGTCTTCTGCAGTGAGATCGAGAAACAATGTCATATTTCCAGATTTTACATCTTACTATATCTGCAGTTAGGGTTTATCTTGCAGCTGATGTGTCCTTTCCCACAGTTGTTAAATCATTGATGCATCTTGCCACAGAAGACACCTTACAAGAGGAAATTCTTTCATCATAGCTACAATTTCTTGGCTGCTTCAGTGTGTAAGTTTTGTACAGTCACGTAAACATCATCACTAAAAAAGAGGAAACAGAGGCTCAGAGAAGTGGAATGCTTTATTCATGTCCACAGCACTGGAACTGATCCTGGATCTGTGCTTTTCCAAGCTCCAGCTTCTGAAGAGATGGCAATGGTTTGCACAGAGGATCCATGATCTGGTCATGCGAAGGCAACCGGAGCATTCTGTCCGGTTCTCCTGCTGGGGCAGGCTCAGGATTACCAAGCAGGATCAGCCAGTGGAGCAGGGGCAGATCTACAAGTGGGCTTGTTTCACTGGTGGAAGCCCGAGTGGTGTTCCTTACCATAACCCACAGGCCCTGGGAGCTGCGGAGACCTCGTCCAGAGTCTGGCAACAGGACATGTGTCCATCTCGGAGGTCGGGGCTTTGGATTTTCCTTTTTTGTCTTTTTCCTGTCTCTTTGGGAGCTAAGTTCAGCCAGAGACTTTTGTCTTTTTCTTGTCTCTCTATCTTCAGCATCTAGCTCTATGCTTGGCACATAATAGGTGCCCCCTAAACGCTTCTCGAAAGACCAAGGCTGCATTTGGGGCCATTATCCAGAAGGCATTTTAAAGATTTTTTTTGTTTTTTACTTTTTCATTTATTTCTAAAAATACAAAAACACACACATATTTAAAATTGAAAAATCAAAAACAAATTTCTTAGTAGCAGCCTCCTGAAGGTCAGCACTGTTACCATGTACACGCATATATTTTAAAATACACCTGGAATCCCAGTGTGCACCCTGACCTGCACCCAGCTGTTTTTCACTTATTAACAGAGCTTGCAGTGAATCCTGGCAAATCTCTACCCAGCAGTCTCTGCCATCTCTGTAACAGCGGCTGGGTACCCTGCTGTACTGATGCTGCAGGGGCTCATCTGCCAGCCCCTCATGGATGAGCATTTAGATTGTTTCCATTTCTGTTCCTGCTGCTGTTTCAAACACAGCTGCATGAGTATCTTGCTCTTAGAATGTTTATGTTCTTTCAAGTGTATTCTTAGGGAAATCCCTTGCAGAAGACTTGTTGGGACCATTCGGTGCATTGAAAAGTTGGGACAGATTGTTAAATTGGCATTTGGAGGGAGGTGGGGCGTTTCTTCCAGCTACACTACATCGGGGCGGGGGGGGGGGGGGTCTGTGTTCCCCTACCCAGCTCATTAGCCTGGAGCATTACAACTTGTGTGGTTTTTGGAAATGGTGACTTGTAAAATCTCATTCTGGTTCGCTTTGCATCTTTAAACCACACAATAAGTTGGGCATCTTTTCAGTCTTCATCAGCCATTTTTCTGTGAACTGCTTATTTATCTTCTTAGCCCATTTTTCTATTGGGATAATAGTGTTTTGTTTTTATTGATTTTTATACATGTCCTTTACAAATTTAAGGGTTATTACACCTTTGTCTATCATATCTATGTGAACTAGTTTTTCAGGGTTATTATTTGTCTTTTGACTTTGTTTATGGTCTTTTTATCACGCAGGAGTTTACATTTTCACAGAATCAAATCTCTCAATTTTTTTTTCTTTTTTTTTTTTGGTGGCTTCTGAGTTTTTATGAAATCTCCTTGTTAGAAAAGTTTTCCATACTCCAAGATTGTAAAGAAATCACACCATATTTTCCTCTGTATTAAAACAGTGCCTGGCACAAAATACATCTTATATTAAGTTTTTGTTAATTCAATTATAAAACAGAATTTTCATGGTTTTATGTTTTTATTTTTAAATTTCAGCCTTCTTGTAATTTATTTTGGTATAAAAAGTGAAGTAGGGCCCTGGCCGGTTTGGCTCAGCGGTTAGAGCGTCGGCCTGCGGTCCTGAGAGACCCGGGTTCGGTTCCCGCTAAGGGCGCGTACCTCGGTTGCAGTTTGTCCCCGGCCCTGGTCGGTTGTGCGGGTGGCAGCCACTCGATGTGTTCCTTTCACATCGATATTTCTCTCTCTCTCTTTGTTCCTCTCTCTCCCTCCCACTCTACCTGAACAAAAAATGGAAAAATGTCCTCGGGTGAGGATAAAAAAAAAAAGTGAAGTAGGGATCCAGCTTTATATTTTTCAAATGGCTAGTGGGTGTTCCCAACATCACTTATCCATTAACCCATTTTCTTCACTGATTTGATTGTTTTATTTTTAATTTTTAATGTGTTTTTTATTGATTTTTTTAGAGAGAGAGAGAAACATCAATGTGAGAGAGAAATATCGATCGGCTGCCTCCTGCATGCCCCCTAGTGGGGATCAAGCCCATAACCCAAGCATGTACCCTGACCAGGAACTGAACCAGGACCTCTCAGTCCATGGGACCATGCTCCACCCACTGAGCCACACCAGCTACCCATTTTTATTGTGTTTTAAAGTGGGAGTCCCCTGCCCTGGCCAGTTTGGCTCAGTGGTTGAGCGTCGGCCTGTGGACCAGAGAGTCTCGGGTTCAGTTCCTGCTAGGGGCACGTCCCACAAAAAAAATAAAGTGGGAGTCCCCTTATTAATGTGAACTATCTTCTGAAATAGTTCTCATACCTAGTCTTTTTCTTTTTCTATTTTATTTATTTATTTTTTTAAAATATATTTTATTTATTTTTTCTTTCATACCTAGTCTTGACTTCCCAATTAATTTGGAAGCTCGGCTGACTCTCTAGGGTAAGCACTAATGAGCTAAATCAGCCTCACTGCATCACACAAAGTAGAGAGATGTGGGGCTGGGCTGCTCGAGGCCTTCCTACTGGCTCAGAACCCCCAGTGCAGTGAGCTCTCCGTGGGCCAATCAGCAGCCACGTGCTTCCCAGAGCTCAGTCCAGCGGCTCTGCAGGGTGGGGGCAGACGGAAAGGGAGACCCTGCATGCCACAGGGGTCTCTTCGGCAGTGCCTGCCCAGGGCCATGGAGAGCCTCGGGATTTCTGAGAATATGTGTGTGTTTCCCCTGCTGCTTTATTCCCCAAGGGGCCAAGGACCCTGGAAGACTCATGGAGGCCTGCCCAGCTGAGCGGTGGGACCAACTAAACAGACTTCCGAACGGTCTGGTGGTTCCCACAGCTTCTGGGTTGGGATAGGAGGACCCGGGGTCTGGGTGCTGACACAGGGCTGGGAATAAGGGGTGACTTTTAGAGGTGCCAGGAGAGAAGATGGAGAAGCTCAGTCCAGCTGACCCGGGCAGGTTGAGGAGCTGCACGGAGTTCTGGCAGGTGAGGGGCGCAGCAGGTACATGGAAAGGTGAACAAGGCCCTGGCCCGGTACAGGGGTTCCCGTTTCAGATCTCGGGTCTGCCACGTGCTCATCATACGACCCTGGGCCAGTCCCAGAACTCTGATGCTCACTTCAGAGAAGTTAAAAATACTGACCTTGCAGGGTTGGGGGAATTTTGCTGTTCCCAGTTCCTCCTCCCCGTCTCATAGTGTGGGATTCATGGAAAGAGGTGTGTTCGTTGCTGGGGGCGGGTTTGGGGTGGGTGTGAGTGAGCACGAAGACCTAGGAAGCACCAGCATTCATGCCGGGATGTGGTGGAGGCAGCAAGAGACACACTTGAGATGCATGTGAGCCTTGAGAAATATGCCCCCGGCAGGAGTGGCGCACTCCCATGCCCCAGGGGCCTGGCGGGGTGTAAAGGGGCCCAGGGGGCCGGACTCCTGGAGATCCTGAGCTCTGACTCCCTGGACTTCCTCTCCGCAGGCCCGCCTGGACCACCAACTGCCAGAACTCCAACACTCTGGCCCGCTGGTTGGATGGATGCAAGCTGTAGCCGCCGGACGGCCCTCCAGACACTCCCGTCGCGTCTTCCTGTGTGTGGCTTTCACTTAATCCTGTTGACTATCTAGCTCACTGGTTGACAGCTCCAGATGAAAAAGGACCGAAGTTGCTTCATTCAGGCATGCAGGACGTAGAATAAACCAGCCACTTGCTCAACCTGGGCCGAAGGTCTCCACTTGCACAATTATATCGTGATCATTACTACAACCGTCGTTTGCCATGATCATGATTTATTATCACTCTCAGATGGAGGATTGGGAGGCAGAAAACGATCTGGAAAACAAGATGTGTCTATGAATATTGAACAGGGAAGGGGAGGAAAGAGTCGAAGAAAAGGGGAGTCCGAGTGGAGGAGAGGCCTCCAATCCACACGTGTCCACGCGGAGACACAGGTGGATGGGAGGAGCCCACAGAATTCTCCTTGCACTTCTTTGGAGAGAATCCAGTGACTGCTCTCTCTTATAAAAAGTTAAGTTTTTAGAAGTTATCAGTAACACACGCTCGCACCAGAGAAGTTGTGAAAGATACAGAAACATGAAGAAGGAGCATCTGCACATGGTGCGGATACCCAGAGACCCCAGCTCCGTGCTCTGGTGGCATTCCACCTCGGTCCCCTTTCTGTAGATGGGGTTCTTCTTTTTCAACAGTGCTGTCATTACAAAACCCCGGGGAGAGTTTTGTCCCTCTCTTTTTAGAAAGAAAAACATGGTAATACATTGTTCCCCTAGATGCATTTCGATTTGAAGCAGAAAGGGGTTCATTTCTGAAGCGTAGAGGCTCAGAGGATCTTGCCGAGGAGGGAGCTTCCAGGGCACCTGCGGGAACCGAGCTGTGGCGGGTTAGGGAACAGTCCTTAACCCCAGCCCTGTGCAGGAAGGAGAGCACTGGAGGGCGCTGGGAGGGCTTGCGGACAGCACGTGCTTCCCCGAGGTGTTAGCGATTCTTCAGAATGAAATCCCAGTGCCGGTTAATATTCCACTGTGTGAACGCACCGCATTTCACACACTTGCCCCTATACCGTCAGATGTGTAGAAACCAGTGCAAATTTGCTGCAGCGCCCGTTTGTGGCTGCCCTCTCTCCATTTTCTACACTTTTGAAATGACACAAGCAACCTATATTTGGTGAAGAAAACTTGAAGAGTACAGATGGTCGCAAAGTAGGAAAGTAAAGACACCCACCAGCCCCTTGCTGGAAGTGGAAGTTTTCTTCATTGTCCCGCAGCTGCAGGATGGCTGGTGGCAATCTTCCCGCGCACCCTCCCCCTTCACTGTGAGTGTGCATCCCGTCCTCCAACTCGGACTCCTCCTATGAACACGGTCTGTCCTGTGCTGGGCTCAGACGATCTTCTGTGGTCTGAATATTTCCAGGTCTATGACAGGGACCAGCACTGTGTTTAACGCCTGCACACTGTCCCTTTATGTGGACAAACTATAATGCACGTAACCCTCTGCTCGTCTCTTCCATCTACACAAAAAGTCAACGACATGAGCGAGTCATGGCCACCTAATAGGCAGGCAGGACCTTCTGGTAGTTTTTATTTTAGACACTTTTAGAAAGGAGAAGAAAGAGCTATAAGTTAGAATTTCAGGGGCAGAACTTTTACTCGAGGTCAGTAATGATCGGTCAGCGTAACCAGTTGGTTTCACAGAGCTTCCCCCGCTCTCTAGAGGAGAGGGACTCCCGCTCCACCCACGCAGCAGGAGCAGGCAGCACGGCGCGGCGGGGCAGGGCTGGCTGTGGAGGCCAGCGAGACGCATTTGAGACCGTGACAGCAGCGTCCTTACTGGGCTGGGAAGCCCACACTGTTTCTGAGGGTGGGTCCCAAAGTCATAATGCACCTGACCTCAACCCAACCTTAACCCAGACATTAATGACAACCTGTAATTGACATGAGCACTGTCTCCTTCCAGCCCATTACTTCTGCCCTGGCCCATCATCATCCCCTAATGGCCACTTGTGTCAACATGGGCGTGAGGCTTGAGGACAAAGCAAATGTTAGTGTATCGATTGGAAAAGCCTCCCTAGGGTTTCCCAACATCACCTCCTGGCTTGGCGCACTCAAACCCACTGATAACGGGCATTACAATAAGCATTCATTCCGGGGCCGGTTCTCCCTGTCTGGTTTGCAGAATGTTCACAGCTGGAATAAGAACTCTCGGTAGCAACGACTCCTGCTACTGTTACTTCTATCACCAGCAGCTACCGTATTAACTCCAATTTTACACATATTACACGTTTAGGCCTTTACATACAATATTTTCAGACCTTGGAAAACCTTACAAGGTAGGTATGAATTATAACCATGTCACAGGTGGAGAAACTGAGGTTTGCAGGGACTAGATTGACTACATAACTTGGCTTTGCTCCAGTCTGATAAGTGAGGGAGATAGATTTGGTATCTCCACAAAACCTATATAGCTCCTCCACACAGCCCCCTCCAAACCCTGCTACCACATTGGTGTTAATTCTCCATTCTACCCATTAGCTGGAAAATCAGGTCTCCAGTTTTGTTTTGTTTTTAATCCTCACCTGAGGACATTTTTCCATTTTTTGTTCAGACAGAGTGGGAGGAAGAGAGAGAGAGAGAAACATCGACGTGAAAGGGACACATCGAGTGGCTGCCACCCACACGACCCAACCAGAGCGGGGACAAACTGCAACCGAGGCACATGCCCTTAGCAGGAACCGAACCCAGGTCTCTCTGGACCGCAGACCAATGCTCTAACCGCTGAGCCAAACCAGCCAGGGCAGGTCTCCAGTTTTTTAATGAAGACTTTGCATTGCCTGGCTGGAGTGGCTCAGTGGTTGAGCCTTGACCCATGCACCAGGAGGTTGCCAGTTCGATTCCCAGTCAGGGCACATACCCAGGTTGTGGGCCTGATCCCCATGGGGGGCATGCAGGAGGTGTCCAACTGATGTTCTCCCTCATCGATATTTCTATCTTTCTCTCTCTTCCTGTCTCTCTAAAATTCAATAAAGAAAAAAAAAAAGACTTTGCATTGAAGAGGTTTTAGGCAATTGGCATTGAACAATGGATCATTGTTCCAGCGCCCAATCCAAAGGCTGGAAAATCCGGGCTCTATGAGATGAAGTCACTTTCTCAATTACATAAATCCAGTCAATAGAGAAGGCAATGTGGTAACTAACGTGTACCCCTTCCAAACTGTCATGTTAAAAACTACCTTGTTCCCGTTAAAATGCTGAACCCTGGGCCATGCCCCGTATCCACTGAGTCCCTGATCTTCCGGTGTGGGGCCTGGGGATCTGTGTTTTTAACAAGGGTCCCCAGATCAATCTGATCCTTGGGAAACTGGGAGAGACTGGTGGGTGGGAAAAGCAAGGGCTGGGAAGAGTCAGACGTGGGGATCGTTCCTGGCTCTGCCACTCCTGCGCCCCCCGATTCTCCGAGCCTCGGCTCTCCTCCTTGTAGACTGAAATGAACGACCTCGGCTGGGCTGGCCACACTGTGGTGGCGTTCAGGGGGAGACAGCGAGGCCGTGGGGGCTTCTGATTTATGGGTCCTTTTCCTGTTTCCCCGCGCCAAGGTGACCGCATGAGCAAAGATACTGCCACAGATCTGCCATCAGGAGGGCCCGGGGTCGGGTGTGTGGCCCTGATGTCTGGTGCCATGGGTATCCAAGCATCGCTTGGCCAAGTTAGTGACTGGAGCAAGGAGATTGTGTCTTACCCTTAGGACACTACCTTCTAGACTTTCCCTTAAAGAGTAGCTGGTTTTTATTTTGTGCTGTAGGATCCAGGGGGTCCCGGAGGTGGCGGCGCTGGGAGACAGATGACTACACGACTCAGAGGCAGTGTGACACTGTTCCGATTTATTGAACGTTTTTATGTGCTTATATACTTTTTTGGCATGAGTTTAACATTTGTGGTTATAGAAGTAGGGAGTTTCATTCCATTGTACCAGGATGTTAGTTTCATTTTTGTCAGAATTAATTTATAACCTTTTGTGTTTATAGATACAAAGAAGGGAGTAGAGTAACCTATAAGGTGAGACAGTTTTCTATAGGCCCTTTGTCTGAGATTAATCGTTGACCTTTATTTAAAATCTAGTTCTGGGTTTTTAGATCAGCTAGTTTTTGATTTACCTCCCTAGCTAACTCAGGACAGCATTCCTTATAAAACCTATTCAATTGCAGTGATTGAGATTTCTTTTGTTTCTTTGTGCATAAGCACCAAGGGGGACCTTGGCGTGCCGACCGGTCCATGAAGGCGAGCTTGCGTAAGGAACGTGTGGTCCGTCTTTGTTACCTATTCTTATTCTGTCTGGGGAGGAGGCACAGGAGTATAAGGTGCCTCCATTAGTCCTATCTGTCACAATTCACCCATGAATTGTTTATTAGGGACTTTCGGGGGAAATTGTTACCTAATTGAGTTAGTAAATGATTAAGACAGTCTGGACATGCAGTGGTGATTGTTTCAGGGGAAGCTGGAGTTTCTTCAGAATTTAGTCGAAGAGGCATGATTTCGGATATCGTGTTTGTTATTCCCGGGTTAGTCATATGGTAGAATAACAATTCCCAGGATTATAATCCCCGTAATACCGATCAATCCCACCCCCCGCCACCTCCTCTTCCTAGAAGACGCATCCTTGACGCTTCCTCTCCACGCCCGGACTTGGTCCGGCAACGTGGCTGGAAGAGGCCGGGCAGTTTTGAATCTCAAATCCTACGTACTTCTGAGGCTAGAGGTGAGCCAGGCACCCCTGCTCCCCACTGATGCTTCCACCTTCCTCCCTAGACCCCTCAGCCTCTTCCAAGCAGGAGCTGCTTCTCCACCGTCCTGCCCTGACCTTCCTTCACAGAAGGTTTTGGCTCCTGCCTGCTCACTGTCTTCCCCACCACCACGGGAGTCAGTGTTCCTGGTGGTCTCCGTATCTACGTAAACAAGCCACCAGCGCCCTGCGTCTCAGTTCCTAGAGGTCATTGCCTGCAAAGGTCTTGTCCTCCTCCTCACTTCAGCCACGCTTGACCCTTGTCATTACTAATATTCGCCACCGTCGAAATCTCAGTCCTGAGCACCTCTTCATAACTTCCCATGGCGTTCCCTCCAGGAGTTGTCATTCCAACAGTTCTTGGGGTTCACTGGGATCTCTAAGGACTAGAGACCACCTTCGCTCTGTCCTCCCTTTTCTCCTGC